CAACTCTTGATGCTTATTTAAGCACCCAGAGCAACCTAAAGAGAACATGAGGTTTAAGAACCACTGATAAGGAATCAAAGCCCTACTTTAAAGAGTATAAATATATATTAAGCATTATATACATATATATACACACACATTTTAAAGAAGTGTAAAATGAACACTTGTATACTTAACACCAAGAAATTGAATATTAACATTGAAGCACCCAGCGCTTCTCCTGTATTGCGTTCTTTCCTAGAAGTGATCACCGGCCTGTTTTGAATTATGCCTATGCTTTCGCTATTTTGCCACACTGTATCTTCTATAATATTGTCTTGTTTGCTTTTAGGCCATATGTAAATGGCATATATATTGACATGCACACACATCCCCTTTGATGACTTAGTTTTTAATCTTTAACAGTCTATTTGACATTGGTTCCTGCTGATGCTTGTGACTGTAGATCACATTCACTCCTTTACAATATTACTTTGTATGGAAGTATTCATTTTGTCCATTCTGCTGGTAGGCCTTTGAGTTATTTTCAGCTTTTTTTCTCAGGTACAAATAATGCTTCCATGAAGATTCTTGTAATTGGTTTCCTTGGTATATTTGTACCAACATTTCTTTAGGGTGAAAGTATAAATTGCAGAGACTACATACCTTAAAACCTATTAGGTAATAAAAACTTATTTTCTAATTTACACTGTTACTATAATTTCATGAGAGTTCCTGTGGCACCCTGTCCTCACCAATTCTTATCCAACATGTGAATGTTACCGTGTGGTTTTCATCTGTATTTCCCTATTTTCTTCTAAGACTTTAAAAGTTTTGCTTTCATTTAAGTCCTTGACCCATTTAAATTTGACTTTTGTACATGAAATTATATATATACCTGTCCTTTGGAAATTTTCCTTATATTTCTCATATTAAGAATTTTCAAAGATTTTTCTTTCCCCTTATCTCAATCCCCATCCTTTATGAAGAGACTCAATGAATTAAAGAATATGAACCCATACAGAACTTCAGAGATGTACACTTTCTAAAGAATATGGTGAATTTTTCTGAACATAGACTAAACACAAATGAAAATAATAACTACTACTATGTTGGGCCTCACAAATTAGCAAAATATATTCTTAACAAGGCTAATTAATCCCAGTGAGAGTGTTGTAAAACAAGCATTGTCATACACACTAACTGTTGATGGTGCATACAATCCAAAAGGTTTACACATACCTTTGCAAAGGTAATTTGAGGCTAACTGCATTGAAGGCTTTAAGGGTGTCCACCATTTTTTAAAGGAAATTTAACTTAATGAAATCTATAACTTTAAAATCATAAAGTATGCACTAAGATGTTCATCACAGTGTCTGTGTATCTTAACCACTTTTGAGCTATTGCCATTTTTGCTACTATGTGTGTGTGTATATATATAATTGTCCCCTTCTTTAAAATGTCCTGTTTTTTTCAAAACTAATTTTTCTATGAGTTTGTCCTTCATATATAATAGACACATGTAATGTATAAAAATATAAACATCATTTTGTTATTAAAGTACTCAGATTTTTGGTGCCTGTCAGCAGCAAAGTGGTAGGACACATACTATTTGTCGAGCTGTGCATTAGCTTCTGACAACTGGATGATGGAAGGAATTGTTGCAGCTTGTGTGCACCTCACTTCTGGCCATAGTTTCAGATTAGTGCGCAAAAATAGGATCCTAGAAACTATGGAAAAAGCTTCATTGCATTAAGTGAACATCTTCTGTTTAAAAAGAATCAAAAATAAAATATATACAGGCAAGAATTCAGTAGAACAATTTGTATAAGAACGAGCTGCAGCCCAGTACTCCTATTTGTTGACATCAAATAAAGGTGAGACTATTTGGAATTCTGAAATGAGCTAACCTCACTCTGTAACTTGATATTACTGAAATGGTTATTAGTGAGCTGTAGAGGGCGGTGCAGAAGAAACTAGTGTTTGTTGAGTGCCTTTATGTGCCAGGTACTTCAAAACATTGTTTCACTAATCCTCATAATGACCCTGCTAAGTAGGTACTGTGAGTTCTGCTTTACAGGTGAAGAAAGCTCATGGAGTTAAGCAACATGACCCAACCTTAGCACGGTGCCTGAAATACAGTAAGTGCTCAATGAATATCTTTTGAATAATGGTAGGCAATATACCTAATGGAGGAACCAGTATTCATACTTAGATCCATCTCATTGCATAGCTCACACTATTTCCATCATAGTGTATTGCCTTCTGTGTAAGACTACACAGAATCATTTTTAAATGCCTAAGAAACAGCACTGCCAATGTAAACACAGCTAGTAAGCCCAGCAACCTGTGATTTCTCCCTTTATATCAGAACAATTTCAATTTCAAAATGTATGCATAGTGAAGGATGAGAAAAGACAGAAAACAGGATCTTCAAGGGCTTTACAGTTACTTAACACAGATGGTACATGAAAATAACAAATATATATGAAAACATCATATGTGTATGGAACATTTTATTAATACAGCTCATCCATTTTTTGTTGAGTTCTACTGACTTTTTAAAATTTATTTTACTTTTAAGTTCTGGGATACATGTGCAGAACATGCAGGTTTGTTACATAGGTATACATGTGCCATGGTGGTTTGCTGCACCTATCAACCCGTGATTTAGGGTTTAAGTCCCACATGTATTACGTATTTGTCCTAATGCTCTCCCTCCCCTTGCCCCCCACTCACACCCACCACCAACAGGCCCTAGTGTGTGATATTCCCCTGTGTCCATGTGTTCTCACTGTTCAACTCCCACTTATGAGTGAGAACATGTGGTGTTTGGTTTTCTGCTCTTGTGTTAGTTTGCTGAGAACAATGACTTCCGGCTTCATCCATGTCCCTGCAAAGAACATGAACTCATCCTTTTTTATGGCTGCGTAGTATTCCATGGTGTGTATGTGACACATTTTCTTTATCCAGTCTATCATTGATGGGTATTTGGGTTAGTTCCAAGTCTCTGCTACTGTAACATCATCTGAAATGTGTTAATTTTATGAATGTTAGGTGTTATGTCTCTTTTCCTTTTTTGCCCCACACATCACTGAAACAAATTATTTGAAAATGCTAAAATAAGTAAAATGTGTGGCATGCTTTCTTAGATGCTTTGTCTCCTGTACCAAAATAATTTACAAATACAAAAGTTGAAAATAATTGTATTAGTTTTTAATGCATAAATCCAAACGTATATTTGTACTGAATATTTTATTAGCTAATAGAGTACCATTTTAAAAATTCTACCAACTTATTTAAAATATTTCCTGTAAAAACATCATCCAAAATGTACTTTGTTAATTTTTATGAATGTTAGGTGTTATGTCTCTTCTCTTTGACGCTTTCTTTTTTATCCTGTGCTTACACCAAAAACAAATTATTTGAAAATGCTAAAATAAATAAAATGTGGCATATTTTCTTAGCTGTTTTGTATCCTGTTATAAAATATTTTACAACTGTGAAAGTTGAAAAATAACTTTATTGGTTTTGGTGCATATAACTGCCTGTCTACTGTAAGAGAACTCATCTATATAATTAAGGCATTTTGTTATTTCAAGTACAGAGGGGCAAGAATATAAGGGAATTATAAAAACCCCAAGATGACTCATTTAAAGTAGATGCACATTAAAATACTATAGATCTGGCATATTTCATATTTATAAAGCAGACAAAAAGAATGTTTATCTTTGCATTTGGCAAGAGTATCTTCAAGATAACCATTTACCACTTTTCAAAGCACTATTGTTGGGAAGGTTTTATTAGGGGAGAGGACTTAGAGAACATGACTTTCCTCATCCAAAACCAAAAACAAATGAGGGCTTAAAATATATTACTTAAGAAGACAGTGGCCAGAAATAAAGACAATGACCAACAAGCTTTGGGGCCATCAAGATGAAAAGATCTTTGCTTTATTCAAGATCTAGGATCTGAAAATCTCACTTGATAAATTTAACTGGATTTTCTTTTCTGATTATGTTTAACTCCAAAATTTGGTTGTATACTGTAGCAATTTCTATTTTACCTGGATGTTAAAAGAAAAACCACTGGAGTCTAAAGAGAGATGAATAACCTCTTGAGCTCAGATGGAGAACTAACCAGTGGCAAATATGTATCTAGTGGAGCAAATACATCTGAAGAGAGTCAAACCATTACAAAACAAGGTGTTTTTAAAAATACTTCAACTTGAAATTATATATATATATATATAAAAAGCATTAAAAGGTATTAGAGATCTTTCTTAAGGGCTGGTAAAATAAAAACACCTTAAAAGACACACTGTTACAATTTCCTCACAGAGGTAAAGAGGTTGTGACGAGCATCAGCATCTTAAGGATGTCATTTCAGAGCTTGATTCTTCTGCCCTAAATGGTTCAGAGCTTGAGCAGGTACACTCTGGTACTAGGGAAAATCTGAAGCAATTCACCTAGTTGGATGAAAAAGGACTTACATACCCTTGATTTATTAAAATTCATTGTTCTTTTATATACATTTCACTTTAAAACTCTGAAATGAACGTTTATGCAGTATGACATGAGTGATTTCATAATTTATATGACAAGCTTAATAAGGCTGACATTCAATGAATAGAAAAGTAATTTACCTTTTAGTAATCAGAAAAACTTTCAATCCATTTTTATCTTATTTTTAAGTGTCTGTTATTAAAGCTTGTGATTTTTATTAATGTAAACAAGCCAAAGGGTGATTGTTTTTGACACACTTTTAAGTCTAGTTTACAAGTCAGACATTTTTATTAATGTAAACAAGCCAAAGGGTGATTGTTTTTGACACACAGCATTTCTATTGTACCATAGTGTATTTGGGTGTAGTTTCTCTCAGTTAACCTTCAAATACTCTGTACAATATTCTGAAACATTGTGGTGAAGTAAGGCTCTGTGGCCCCCTGAAAGCAGGACGCTACATAAGGGAGGTCTGCTGCATTGAAGGGCCCCTCTGCCATCCCAGATTTCAAGACATACTGCAACCAGGCCTGGAAAGATAGCCATAAGTAAGTATCCATATTAAATGTATTCCTGTCTAGAGAAAATAGATACATAACACAACATCTAGGATTTTCTAGAGACATATTTTTTAAATAAGTTAAATATTTTAAAGCATCATTTCAAAAACACAATTTCAACATTTAGAAATTTAAAAATAGAATGAACAAGTATGTTGCATTTTCACATCTCATTTAACCAAATGAAAGATATATCCTAATAATAAACCTTCAATATAAGATCGATAAATACATTTGAAAGTCACTTTCAAGATGAAACAAACATAATATACTCTTCCAAGTGCCATCACCATCTAAAATGACAAGGCCCATTCGTAGTAAAGACAAATTAAAACCTAATCAAATTTGTTTGATGAAACTCATGATGCCAGCATAAACTGTTCCTTGATTACATGAAATCATCCAAGGCAGGGACAGGAGAGACTCTCATGGCAATTTGTTTTCTTCAGTGCTTTCCGCTTAGTGGCTGTATGATCACATGAGACACTGTCTCTCCTAGAGAGTAACCCTGCATGGCAGTCATTAAAGGAAAGAGGCAAAACTGGATTTCAATTTTTAACATCTATATTGAAGTATAAGTTATACACAATAAAATTCACCTATTTTATGTGTAAAGCTTGGCAGGTATGGACAAATGTGTATAGATGTGCAAGCACTACCACAATCATAATACAGAAAATTTCCATCACCCACAAGCTCCTGTGCCCTTTTGCAGTCTACCTCCTTCCCCAAACATGGCCTCGGGCAACTACTGTGCTTTCTGCACTATAATTTTGCTTTTTCTAGGATTTCATATAAATATATTACGTAGTCTTTTCACTTTTGGCTTCTTTACCATAGCATGTTTTTGATATTCATATCTGAGCTGTAGTTCCTACAACTTCTGTTGAGGTTCAATAGTTCCTTCCTTTTTGTTGCTAAATAATATTTCATTGTATACAGAGAACACAATTTGTTTATCCATTTGCAAGTTAATGAACATTTGAGATGTTTTGAGTTTGGTGACTATGCACAATGCCGCTATAAACATTCACGGACAAGGCTTTTTGTGGACATGTGTTATCATTTCTTAGGGAAAAACCCAGGAGTGGAATTGGGTTGTATATGTATAATTAAGTGTGGATTTATCTTTATAAGCAACTGTTTTCCAAAGTAGATACCCATTTTCCATTTCTACCAACAATGCATGAGAGTTTCTGTTGTATCAGTTTTTGTAATTTTAATCATTATAGTATGGTTATGGATGATTCAAAATATCTTCTTTGGTGGAATGTCTATTCAAATATTTTACAAATTTTGTGTTGTTTCTTATTGAGGTGTGAGAGTTCTTTTGTATATTCTGCGAAAGTCTGCCTGATTTTTTAGCAGATGTATTAAGGTGTAATTGCTCAATAATTACCCAATAAGCTGCACATATTGTATCCACTTTGATACATATTAACGTATGTATACACTGTAAAACAGCAGCCACAGTAAAACTCTCATGAACATATCCATCTCTCCCAAAATTTTACTTCTTTTGAAACCTAATTGTTGCATGCTTTTCTTTTTGTCTGGCCTCTTGTCCTCAGTAGAATTATTTCCGAGATCCATCCATATTGCTGAATTAATAGTTTGTTTATTTTTATTAGTGAGTAGTATTTACATTGTTTGGATATTCTAATAGTGTGTGTTTATACTGCTCATCTGTTGATAAATAAGTGGATTGTTTCCAGTTTGGGGCTATTATAGAAAATAAAGTGCTATGAATATTTGTGTACAATTACTCAGATGGATATGCTTTCTTTTATCTTAATATAGTAGTTGTATGTTTAACTTTTAATAAAATTGCTAAACTGTCTTGCAGAGCGGTTGTACCATATTACTTTTGCACCACTGGTGTGTATGAGTGTCCTGGAGTCCTCCGGGCACAGCAACACTTGGCACTTCATCAGTTTTTCTTTCAATTATAGCTATTTTATTAAGTGTTTAGTGATATCTCACTGTAATTTTCATTTGCATTTCACAAATCACTAGTAACATCAAGCATCTTTGTGTGTGATTATTTGCCATCTGTCCATTTGTCCTTTTTTTTTTTTTTTTTTTTTTTTTTCAGACAAGGTCTTGCTGTGTCATGAAGGCTGGAGTGCAACAGCACAATCTCGGCTCACTGCAACCTCCGCCTCCTAAGGTTCAAGCCATTATCCTGCTTCAGCCTCCCAGGTAGCTGGGATTATATGTGCCCACCATCATGCCTGGGCATAACTTTTTGTATTTTTAGTAGAGAGATGGAGTTTAGCCATGTTGGCCAGGCTGGATCTCAAACTCCTGACCTCAGGTGATGTCCACCTGCCTCGCCTCCCAAAATTCTGGGATTACAGGAGTGAGCTCCACTGCGCCGCTTCTTCGGCCTATTTTGTCCATTTTTAATTGAGTTGTTTTCTTATTATTGGGTTTTGAGAGTTCTTTATACATCTAGGAGAAAGTCCTTTATATCAGACATAGGCTTTGAAAATATTTTCTCCCAACACTGTTTATAAAAAATTTATCCTGTAATTCTTCCTAACACTGTTTATAAAAAAGCAGAGATTTACAGTTTTAATGAAGTCCTATTTATCAATGTATTCTCTTGTGGATCGTGATTATGTTACTGTATCTGAGAAATCTTAGCCTAATCCAAGGTTACAATAATTTTCTTCCACATTTTCTTCTAGAAATTTTATATTCTTAGATTCTGCAGTAATGCTACCTTCACTCCTAGTTTGTTGAGAGTTTTTAATCAGTTGTGATACTGAATTGTGTCAAATACTTTTTTCCTGAATGCACTGAGAGGATGATGCGGTCTGCTCCTTTTCAGTTTGTTACTATGGTGAATTCACCTGATTGGTGTTCAAATAGTGAGACAACTCTGCATTCCTGGGAGATAAACTCCACTGATACATTATGTATTAACTTTCTTTTTAATATATTGCTGATCCATTTGTTGCAGTTTACTTAAAAATTTCACATATGTGTCTGGGCGATACATTTTGATTGGTTGTTTCCTTTTATTGTAATGTTTCTCTCATGTTGGTTTCAGGATAATGCTGACCTCATAGAACCAGCTGGGAAGTAATCCTTTCTTTTGAATTTTCTGGAATAGTTTGTAGAATTGGAATTATTTCGCGAAGATATCTGTCTTAAAGTTTTAGACAATTCTTTTCTCATTACAAATATACTTATTAATAGATATAAGGTCATTCATAATAAGGTAATAGATATAGGATTTTCTATTTTTTTAAGTGAGCTTTGGTTTTGCATCTTTCAAGGAACTTCTCCATTTTATCTATTTTGTCCTACTTAGTGGAGTAAAGTTGTTCTAAAATTCCTCATTATCCTTTTCATTTCTTCAGATCCCCAGTGATAAAATCTTTCTTATTCCTGATATTAGTAATTTCTTCAATTTTTTTTAGTTTGGGTAGAAGTTAATCAATTTCATTAATCTTCTCAAGAATCAGTGTTTGGTTTTATTGACTTTTCCCTGTTTTGGGGGGGAATTCACACTGATTTTGACTCTAATCTTTGTGCTTCTTTTCTTCTCCTTACTTGCTTACTTGTTCTTTTTTCTAGTTCCCTGAAGCCGAATGACTGATATGAGGCCTTTCTTCTTTTTCTATTATAGGCATTCAACATAAAAACAAATCTCTCTACTGTTGTATCTGCATCCCATAAATAGCAGGATGGTGTTCTCATTTTCCCTTAGGTCAAAATACATTGAAACTAACCTTCCTTTAGTTTCTTCTTGACCATGGATTATCTGGAGGTGTATTATCTAGTTTCCAAACATTTGAGAGAATTTCCATATAGAATTCTGTTACTGATTTCTAATTTAATTTCATTGTAGTCAGAGATTGTACTTTACATGATCTAAAGTATATCAAATGTGTCAATACTTGTTTTGTGGCCTAGAAAATGGTCTTTTTTGATAAATAGTCTGTGTGTGCTTGAATATCTATTTTGCTGTTATAGGGTGGTGTGTACTATAAATGTCAATTAGGTCATACTGGTTGATGGCATCATTCAAGTCTTCCATATTCTTACCAGATTTCTTTTTATTTGTTCTACAAATTATTTAGAGAAGGCTATGAAAATTTATAAATATACTGTAGATTTGTCTATTTTTATCAAACATAGTCGTTTTGAGTAATATTCTTTGTCTTAACATCTATCTTACTGATATTTATGCATTTTTCACTTCAGCTTTCTAATGTTTGCTCACATGATATCTTTTCCATTCTTTTTCCTTCAGCCAACATACTTATTTGTATTTAAAATGTACCTCTTGCAGGCAAGTCCATAGATAGGTTTTGCTCTTGTATTCAGTTTGCCAATCTCCGCCTTTTGTTTGGAAAAGTTTAGTCCTCTTTCACTTTGAAATTACTGATATAGGCTTGCTATTATGCTTTTTTTTTTTTTAAACTTTTTATTTCAAGACATTTGGAGATCCACAGTAAGTGAGAGATAATACACATAGCTCTTGTACAGTCTTTAGACAGTGTCCCCCGCCATGGTAACATCTTGAACGTTTGTATAATATCACAGCCAGATAATTCACATTGATAGAATGGTGATAGAGAGCATTTCCATCACCACGGAGATCCCTTGTATATCCACACATACTATACTTCCCCCACATTCCCACCCCACCCTAACCCCTCGCAACCACAAATCATTATCCACTTCTATAATTTTATCATTTGAAGACAGTTATATAAATGGAATCATACAGTATGCAACCTTTGGGGATTGTCTTTTCTTCATTCAAACAATTCTCTGGAGATCCATCCAGGATCTTGAGTGTATCAATAGTCTGATCCTATTGCTGAGCAGTATTCCATAGTATGAATAGATCACTATTATTTAACCATTCACCTTGCAAAAAACATCTGGGTCGTATGAGGTTTAGGCTATTACAAATAAAGCTTCTATAGACATTTTTCTACAGAATTTTGTGTGAAAACAACTTTTCACCTTTCTTGGAAAAATGCCCAGTACAATTGCTGGGTCTTAAGTTAGTTATGTGTTTAGGTGTTTTCCCCTTTTAGTTTTAGTTGACAAGTAATACTTGTACATACTTATGGAGTATAGAGTGATATTTCAGTGCATAATTACAATGTGTAATGATCAAATCAGGGTAATTAGGATATCCATCACCTCAAACATTTATCATCTGTTTGTGCTGGGAACATTCAGAATCCTCTGTTCTGGCTTTCTTGACATATACAATAAATTACTGTTAACTAATCTTCACTCTACAGTGCCAGAGAACACTAGAACTTATTCCTTCTATTTATCTGTAGTTTTGTATCTCTTAACCAACCTCTCCTTATCTTCTTCTCCTCCCTACCCTTCCCACCTAGCCTCTAATTACCACAATTCTACTCTACTTCTATGAGCTACTTCTTTGAGCTTCCACATGAGTGACAACATGCACTATTCATCTTACTGTGGCTGACTTATTTCGCTTAATGTATCCAGGCTCATCTATGTCTAGGCTTGCCATTATGCTCTTTCATTTCCCCACTGTTTTATTTTTTGAGTGGTTTAGCTAGGGATGACAACAAGCATCTTTAACATATCATGATTTACTTACCATTTAAATTGGGTTATTTCTAGTAAATCATACATTTCCATGGTTTACTCAATTTTTGTGCTATTGTCATGTATGTTTAATTTCTGTCATAAACTAAAAAATATAATGGTATCACCTTTGCCTTAATGTCTTTTAAAGATTTTCAGAGAAGAAAAATGCATAGTGATTAATTTCCACATATTTACCATTTCCAGCGCATTTCAGTATTTCTTGTATATCTGAGTTACCATCTGGCATCATTTCTCATCAGCTGATAGAACGTCTTGTCCATCTTGAAGTATAAATCTGTTACCAACAAATTATCTTAGATTTTGTTGATCTGAAAAATGTATTTTTGGCCTCCATTTTAAAAAGATAATTTCATTAAATATATAGTTGTTGATTTTTCTTCTTCAGCACTTTGAATTATCATTCCAGTGTCTGTTAATTTCCACTATTTATGGTGAGAAGTCAAATGTCATCATTTTTTTCTCTTATTTTCAAGATTTTCTCTTAATCTTTGATTTACCATTTTGACTATAATGCGCCTTGCTTCGGTTTTCTTTGGGCGTACCCAGTTGGATTTGTTGAGCTCAGCAGATCTCTAAGTTAGTAGTTTTATCAAATGTGAGAAATTTTTGGCCAACATTTCTTCAATATTTTTTCTGTCGTGTTCTTTTTTTCGTTACGTCTAATACTAAAAGTATGCATGTGTTGAACTACTTAATGTTACATAGGTCTGTGATGTTGGTTATTTTTCAATCTTTTTGGTTCCTGTTCTTTTGATTAACTATTCTCTCTTGATCTATCTTCAAATTCATTGAATTTTCTGTTCAAATGTCATTTTCATCTCAAAATTGTTGTTGAGTACATTTAAGTAATGTTCATTTCATTTATTATACTTTTCATCTCTAGAATTTCCATGGGGGCTGGAGTGTTTCTACTTCTCTGCTAAGATTCCATCTCTCTTCACTCATGGATACCATGTTTTCTTTTAATCCATTGAATATATTTTTCTTAAGCCTTTAAATGTATTTGTAATAGTGGCTTTGCAGTCTTTGGCTGCTAAATCCAACATCTGGACCTACTTGAATCGGTTTCTATTAACTTATTTTTTTCAGAGTATTGGTCATACTCTCTCATTTTAGTTTGCATCTCTGAAACGTTTTTGCACATTGTAAATGATATTTTGAAGTGACTGTAGAACCTGTTTCGTTCTTCTGATTGCTAATGTGCTGTTCTAGGAGACAATTAATATGCCTGAATTTCCTGTCATGTGCAGCAGCTAGTATCTCTGCTTAGGAGCCTAAACAAAGGCCTCAAAAGATCAATTACACATCTTAGAATTTTATGATTTTTAGAGATTCAAAATTCAGAAATTAAAAAATTTTAATTAGGAATGTTTTTCTTATTATGTCATGTTGAGTTTTGTCACTTTTCTTTTAAGTCTTACAAATCCAATATAATTCAGCTATATAGTACAGAATGGCAATATCTCACTTTGTTGTAAATGCAAATCCATATTTCAGATATCTAATAAAAATTTTCATAAATATTTCAAAAATTATGAAAAAAGTTAAGTGGAAGATATCAAATTAAATTGAAAAATCAGGATATTAAAATATACTATAATGTTTGGAATTAAATTCTACCTCATTGATAGTATAGTTTTATTTCTCTAGATGAAATAATTTAAGATACCAGGATAATATTTTAATAAATTTAAAATAAAAATTCTTAAAGAATCAGAACTACTGTAATAAACTGAAACATTTGTTGCTTAAAAATATACCATATTGGATAGCATAGGGTTAATACTCACTTAGTTCTCACAACACACCATGCCTCTTCTAAAACATAATAATTCACATGTAACTCTGACAATTTATCTCTTACTTCTTTGGCAGATTTTCGACTATATGTAGAATAAACTATTTTTGTCCGGGCCCTTTAAATTTAAACAATAGTTTAAAAGATTTTAAAATGAATGATAATAGAATAGACTAAAAAAATCTTACTAGCAAATTGAAATCTCAGTACGCACTGGATGGAACACTGATATACATGACTCAAAACAGCATCAATTATTTTGGGGATGGCAGTTTCCACATTCATACTTATATTTTGAATGTAATAAAACTTATAGCAATTTAATTTTGCATATACTGCTCATTAGTGTATAAAATAGTCTGAAGTTGTACTGGGTAGCAGACAGCAGCTTCGGATATAAAATTTTCTTCTCATAATTCACAAAGTTTTCAGAGAATATATTCTGACAGAGACTGAATGTAGTGAAAACATATCTTTAAATGCTTAATTTCATCTGAAGAAGCTCTGACAAACACATGAATTGAAACTGAGTGTATCAAGTAGAACACTTAGGCAATGGGCATCCAGGGTGTCAGAACAGGTAGGAAAAGCACCTTGACAGAATCTTGAGAAATGGGAATCGTCACCAAAATATGGTACAATAGGTGATTTGACCATAGTGGAAGTTCTTACAATATCCTGACAGACTATCACTTATGCATTGGATGTTGCTTAGAATTTCAAGCATATGGGATGCTCAGTCACCACAGTGGTTTCCATGCCAGTTCACCGCAGTAGAACAGAGAGAGCGTCAGGTACATTTCTAAGGTGTCTGACTCCAAGCCCTGGCTCCTAGACAGCAGACCTAAAACTTTTAAATAATTTAAATATTTGCCCTCTAACAATAGGCCAAAAATCCACTTTTAAAAACGATTACCCTGACAACTACTAGAATTACCAAAATAATTTTTTAAACCAGCCATTTAAGGAAAGCAAAACTTTTAGACATCAATGGAAATTAGAGTTCTCATAATCGGCTAACAAAAATACTCTACATTTTCATGAAAGCACGTAACATATAATAGCAACTTTCATGTACTTTTTCTACCTGTCACAAAAGGGTAGTCATTGGCCACCAGTAAGATCCAGAAATCATTTCTTAAATCAGAGTGGGGCTTGTGGTGTAGAGCAGGGGTTGGCAAACCATGGCTGTGAGTAAAATCCATCCTATCTCCTTTTCCAACTACCTAGTAGTTTTACTGGAATACACACACACACATCATAAATATGTAACACGTTTGTCACTTTGGGAAAAACTGGCTTTTGCATTTTTCAGTTTTCAGAGGTCAGCTTGCTCCAGAGGCAACGGGTACGTATTGTCATTTCTGGATGGTCATTGTCATTTTTTTTGAACTTTCAGCACAAAAATGAGGATGAGTTTGTGTGTGTGTGTGTGTGTGTGTGTAAATATTTTCCCAATTCCTAAGAATTGGGAGTCACCAAATGATTCTTGATGAAATACTCATCAGTTGCTAACCTTAAGTCTGCATCTTCGTAATGTGGATGATTCACAATGGGATGAAGTGTAGACAACTTGACACTTGCCATTGTAGGCATGGCACCTGCGAAGACGGCATCTGAAAAAAAAAAGGCTATATTCTTCAATGAAATGTTTTAAAGAAAATCAGAAGTTAAACTTACCTCTAATATGTGACCCAGATTAAGAAGGATGATGCCTATTTACATGACCACGGACCTCATTTCTTTTATTGACTCAATAGTTACTCATTGTCTACTATAATAATAGCTGACTTTTGTTCAAACACTATCTTGGTGCTAGAAATTGTGCTTCATATTTTAACAAGAATTAAATAACTTAATTTGCACAATTCTAAGAGGTGGGTCCTCTGTTCTTTGTAGAATCTACAAACTGAGCATGTGTGGGGTCTGGGTTGCGCACTCATTAGAATCTAATGCCTGATGATCTGAGGTGGAACAATTTCATCCAGAAACCACCCTCCATCCCCTAGTTCTGTGGAAAAAATTGGTCTTCCCGAAACCGGTCCTGGTGCCAAAAGGCTGGGGACTGCTGCATTATAGATGAGTGAAGACAGAGCCAAAGTTAGAGTGACTTGCCCAAGACTGCACAGCTAAGGAAGTTCCAAACCTGCCCTCTTGGCTTGCTTCACTAAAGCTTCCTGCTATGCTAGAGCACCATGCGAACAGCAGGACTACAGACACACATGAAACAAAAGGCGATGTTAAAATGTCATATCTGTTCCAATAATGTGAAATGCAGGAACTGAGGCTGCTATGAAAATTGATCTCGCCAGGACATTTTTCAAATGACTTTGTGGCTTGTGAACACTGTAGTCCTGTGGATGTGCCATAAAAAGAAAAGCGTCTTCCGTCAGATCATCTTTAATTGAGTTCTCAGAGTTACCATTTGACTTGACACCATTTATACATGCTATGAAATCATTTCATTACTTTCTGGTAGTACTTTTTGGAGTAATGACATGTATAAATTTGGTCATAACTAAAGATACAGCAAAATCTGCTATCTGGCTTCCATTTCCTCTCTCAAAACACCAGAAGACCAAATGCTTACTTCTTGGTACTTTTGTATAAAAAACAATTATATAATTGTGAAGGTTATTATCATTTTTAATCAGCACAATAAAATCAGTAATAAAGACAAGACATATTTTCAGATCTACTGTAAAAAAACTTGTATATTGGAAGGAGGTGGAGCGATAACCAAACAGAAGCTTCCACTGTTCATTCTCCCTCAGAACACCAAATTTGATAAGGATCTACACAAAAAGCACCTTCATAAGAACCAAAAATCAGCTTAGGTACCAGCGTGGCCTCAGTGGGAGAATTAAGTTCTTGTAGTCCCGATTCAGAGCACTTAGCTCCTGGATGGCATTTCTCGGCCTGCCCTGGGCTGGAAGAGCCCATTGCCGAAGGGCCAAGTCAGGCTGGCAGCCTCACCACAAGCTGACTGAAGGGTCCTTAGGTCTTAAGTGAATGTTGGTGGTAGCCAGGTGAGTACCTCCATGGGCCTGTGGTAGTGGTGGAAATGGAGAGAAGCCCCTCTGCCTGGGGAAAGGGGAAGGAAGGGTAGGAAGGACTTTGGTGGTTTCAGCACCAATACTTGATGAATAGAGCATCAGGTAGATTTCTAAGGCATCTGAGCCAGGCCCTAGCTCCTGGACATCAGCATCTCTGGACCTGACTATGAAGCTAAGGGATCTTGCCACCCTGAAGGGAAGGTCACCAAAGCAAGTCTGGTTTTGCCACCTGCCGACTGTAGAGCCTACACCTTGCAAACAACATAGGTGGTAGCTAGGCAGTAGTTACAATGAGCCTTGGGCAAGACCCAGTGCTGTGCTAGCTTTGAGTCTGACCCAACACATTCAGTAGTGGTGGCCCGGGGAGGTGCTTATGTCACCCACCACCAGCTCCAGGCAACTTAGCACATAGAGAGAAAAGAGAGAGAGGGAGGAGCTCATATGGGAGGGAGTTAAGGGAGAACAGAGCTTCTGCCTGCTAATCCTGAGAATTCTGGATTTTATCCAGAACCACCAAGGTAGTACCTCTAAGAGTCTGCAATAGCTTCAGCATTACTGGGCATGGGGTGCCTCCTAGTGCAGATACAGCTGCAGTGACCAGAAAAAGGTAGTACCTCTAAGAGTCTGCAATAGCTTCAGCATTACTGGGCATGGGGTGCCTCCTAGTGCAGATACAGCTGCAGTGACCAGAAACTTAGATCACAACACTGAAGTCCCTTTGAATACCTGGAAAGCCTTTCCAAGGAGGATGGGTACAAACAAGTCCGGACTGCAAAAACTACAATAAATACCTAACTCTTCAATGCCCAGACACTAACAAACATCCACAAGCATCAAGACCATCCAGGAAAACATGACCTCACCAAACAAACTAAATAAGGCACTAGGAGGCCAATCCTGGAGAGAGAGAGATATGTGGCCTTTCAGACAGAATTCAAAATAGCTGTGCTGAGGAAACTCAAATTCAAGATAACACAGAGAAGGAATTAGTAATCTTACCAGATAAAGTTAACAGATTGAAATAATTAAAAAGAAGCAGAAATTCTGGAGCTGAAAAATGCAACTGGCATACTGAAGAATGCATCAGTCTCTTAATAGCAGAACTGATCAAGCAGAAGAAAGAATTCGTGAGCCTGAAGACAGGCTGCTTGAAAATACACAGTCAGAGGAAATAAAAGAATAGAAAAGAATGAAGCATACTTTCAAGATCTAGAAGTAGCCTTTAAAGGGAAAAATCTGAGTTATTGGCCTTAAAGAGGAGGTAGAGAGAGAGATAGCAGTAGGAAGTTTATTCAAAAGTATAACAGAGAACTTCTCAAAGCTAGAGAAAATATCAATATTCACACACAAGAAGGTTATAGACCACCAAGCAGATTTAACCCAAAGACTAACTCATTTAATATCAAATTCCCAAAGGTAAAGGATAAAGAAAGGATCCTAAAAGCAGCAAGAGAAAAGAAACAAATAACATACAACGGAGCTCTAATACATCTGGCAGCAGACTTTTCAGTGGAAACCTTACAGGCCAGGAGAGCATGCCAAGACATATTTAAAGTGAAGGAAAAAACCTTTTACCCAAGAGTAGTGCATCCAGAGAAAATGTCCTTCAAACCTAAAGGAGAAGACTTTCCCAGTCAAACAAAAGCTATGAAATTTCATTAACACCAGACCTATCCTACAAGAAATGCTAAAGGAAGTTCTTCAATCTGAAAGAAAAGGACATTAATGAGGAAGAAATAATCGGAAGGCACAAAACTCACTGGTAATAGTACGTACATAGAAAAACACAGAATATTACAGCAGTGTAATTATGGTATATAAACTACTTACATGATAAGCAGAAAGACAAAAAGATGAACCAATAAAAAATAACTACAACAACTTTTCAAGAGACAGACAGTAGAATAAGATATAAATAGAAACAATAAAAAGGTAAAAAGTGGGGAGATGAAGTTAAAGTTTAGAATTTTTATTAGTTTTCCTTTGGCTTGTTTGTTTATGCAATCAGTGTTGTCATCAGTTTAAAGTAATGGGTTAATAAGATATTATTTGCAAGTCTCATGGTAACCTCAAGTTTAAAAACATACAGTGGATATACAAAAAATAAAAAGCAATAAATTAAAACACACCACCAGAGAAAAATCGCCTTCAATGAAAGAAAAAGAGGAAGGAAAAGAAGACCACAAAACAATGAGAAAACAAATAATGAAATGGCAGGGGTAATCCTTATCAGTAATAACACTGAGTGTAAATGGACTGAACTCTCCAATCAAAAGACAAAGAGTGGATGAACAAGCAAACAAAACCCTAAGAATTTGTAACCTACAAGAAACACACTTTACTTTTAAAGGCACATATAGACTGAAAACAGAGTGATGGAAAATTATATTCCATGCCGATGAAAACCACAAAAGAGCAGGAATAGCCATACTTATATCAGACACAATAGATTACAAGATAAAAGCTATAAAAAGAGATAAAGGTCATTATATAATGATAAAGGGGTTAATTCAGCAAGAGTACATAACAATTGTAAATATATATACACCCAATACTGAAGCACGCAGATATATAAAGCAAATATTATCAGAGCAAAAGAGAGAGAGAGATCCCAATACAATAACAGCCTGGACTTCAACACCCCACCTTCAGCAGTGGACAGATCATCTAGACAGAAAATCAACAAAGAAACAGTGAACTTAATCTGCACTATAGATCAAAAGGACCTAATAAATACTTACAGAACATTTCATCCAATATCTACAGAATACACATCCTTCTCCTCAGCACATGGATCATTCCTCAAGGATAGACCACAAAACAAGGATAGGCCACAAAACAAGTCTTAAAACATTTTTTTAAAAATTGAAACAATATAATGTGTCTTCTCCGACCACAATGGAAAAAAAAACCCAAAAAACTAGAAATCAGTAGCAAAAGGAATTTTGGAAACTCTACAAACATAGAAATTAAAGAATATGCTCCTGAATGACCAGTGAATAAAGAAATTAAGAAGGAAATTGAAAATGTTCTTGAAACAAATGACAATGAAAACACAACATATCGAAACCTATGAGATACAGCGAAAGCAGTATTAAGAGGGAAGTCTTATAGCTATAAGTGCCTACATCAAAAAAGAAGAAAAACCCCAAATTAACAACCCAATGATGCATCTTAAAAAACTAGAAAAGGGCAAACAAAACCCAAAGTTAGTAGGAGAAATGAAATAATAAAGATCAGAGCAGAAATAAATGAAATTTCAATGAAGAAAACAATATAAAAGATCAACTGGTTTTCTGAAAAGATAAAATTAACAAACCTTTAGCCAGATGAAGAAAAAAAGAGAGAAGGCCCAAATAAATAAAATCAGAGATTAGAAAAAAAGAGACATTACAACCAATATCTCAGGAATTAAAGGATCATTAGAGACTACCATGAGCAACTGTATGCTGATAAATTAAAGGATCGCAGAAATTAAAGGATCTCTAGTAGACTACCATGAGTAACTGTATGCCAATAAATTGGAAAACCTAGAAATTGATAAATCTCTAGATACTAAA